AGGCTCTTTATCGATACGTACCCCTGCATACATTTCTGGACATCGCGAAATACGTCCCAGGAAGTACATTTTTTAGCAGCTTTTGTTTTCGCAAATCCGCCAGAGGCCGCTGATCTCAAATTTCTTGCGCAAGTGCCATTTGTGCCTGCTCTTCTCACGTAAATCAACCAGAGGCCGCTGTCAGAGCCCCAGAGCACCTACCAGTGTCAGCTCCAGTCCCAGAGCACCCACCAGTGTTGGCTACAGCCCCACAGGCCTCCTGCCTTGCTGTCCCTGTCTGATCCTCCCTGGGTTGTCCCCCCTGCTCCTCCCTGGTGTGTCCCTCTGTCACCCTGGACAGTACCTCCGGCTCCACCCTTGTTCCCTGCCGGTGTTTCTGACCCACTGAACCCACCCTGGATGGTCCATTCTGCTCCACCCTGGCCCCCTGCCGGGACCTCTGACCCATTGGTCCTGCCCTGGACTGTCCTTCTGGTCCCGCCCTGGATTGGTCCTCCCTGGTTGCCCACCTGGACTCCCTTTCCTGCTGCGCTTCACTTCCTATCAGCCAGAGTCCCTGAATCTCCTGACCCTCCCAGGCTTTGCCCTCCCTTGTTGGTCTTGCTGGGCTTGGCTCCCCTCCCTCCCTCTCTTTGTGATGTCTTTTATGTTCACCTCCTTGTCTTGTGTTGTCTGTTGATGTTGCTTGTTTTGTTTTTGTTGTGTGGTGTTTCTTGTCGTCTTGTACCTTGTTGGATGTTCCCTTTAGGAACACCAGGTGACGTCCCTTTTTTTGGGGGGGGGGGGGTGGTCTGCAGCGTGGTGTCTTATTCCCAGCATCTCAGTCTAGTTGTTTTCGGTTGGTGCTGGGATGAAACATGCACACTGCATGTGTGAGTGCACGATGAGTGTTTTTCATTTATCGTGTACTCGTGTCTTTGTGTCTACTGTTGGTGTTGTGTTTAGCATGTGGTAAATTTTTACATGCGCCGCTTACTTTGTCTCATGTGAACACGCGGTTAATGAGTTTTTATTGGCTGCGTGTTCTAGTCTTGTTTTGTGTGGGGGGTAGTTTTTTTTGCTGTTTATTTTATTTCATTATTAATAAAACCAATAATTTAGTTCTGCACTTGAGTCCTTATCCTTTTTCCTACACCAACCGTGACAGCTGTCGAGTGACCGACCGATTCCTCCACCCACCTCCTTCCCTAAACCAAGTCTCAAGCGGTGAGCCACTGGGAAAACTGGTAACATCAGAAAATCAGTGCACACGGTGGTAAGCGGTCAGCTGGTAGAAAAAGAAGCTGTCGGGGGCATCATACCACTTTGGTTACATAATTCACGCCCTCCAGAAATGTATGCAGGGGTGCATTTTCATAATGAACCTGTGTTTAAATATTCTTACAATTGTGAGTTTATGCCCATAATTCTGACTTTATAATTTAAATTGTGTGTTATAAATTAAAATCTGGTTTCTGTTACAAGAAAAAGAATCAGATTTGCTAATTTATATCTCACAGTTCTGATTTTATAACGCAATTCTGTGAATTTATCTAGCAATTCTGAGAACCTATTAAAAAAGACAAAAATGTAAAATGGAAACTTGATATCATAATTACACTCAAAAATTGATTCTTGCTACTTGTTCAAACTACTTATTTAAAATGAGCTGAATCAACACAATTCTTGAGTTTTTTGGGACAACTTACTTGTTTTATGTCCAAATTACTTACATTTAACTTAATCGGTTATCGGTTTGTGTTGGGAAAATATGGAGGAATTGTGCAGAACCCAGCATTTTTTTACAATGTAGTGTTTTTATTATTATTTAGAGGCAGAAAGACTTCCATGCCTTCATGTACTGTACATTTTTTTTTTTTCAAAAAAGCTATCATCTAAATTGATATGGAATTGCTACTTGTAAAACACACATTTTCCCATGATATCAGTTTTTTTTTACTCTACATAATTATCTGACTGCTAGTAGATGCTGTTCTCTCTCTCTCTCTATCTCTCTCACTCATAATTCCCTTAAAAAGTCAGTTTTTAATTTCAAAAAAAAAATTTTTTTTTTTTTTCAAATTAGTGTCTAATCTCACCAGAGGCAACAGTTTTGACTTTCACACCCTATAAAAAACTATTTCCTGCAAACCTCTGAATGTAGGCCCTTTGAAACCTGATGACAGGCTCTTTTTTTCTCAAAACACATGACCTAATATGACAATATATCTCTCATCTATTCAGTTATGGTCTCTGAACAAACAGACCGCAACAAAGAGAAGGATTAAGACGTCACGTTCAAAGCGCCATATTTTAAGCTATTGTCTGCCGTGAATAAAGCGCGACCGTAACCCGACTCTATTCAGGTTACACGATCCCAGTGTTTTCACAGCACTGTACAAAACATACTAAAATATATACAGTCATGTAGTTAATCACTTGGGGGTTAAACAGAAGCTCTTACTCCAATGTTTAATGCATTCACTAGAACAAAGCAACCTTTTTATTATTGTCTCTCTCTCTCTCTGCTTATTATTGTAGATGTTAGAAATTAAACCTAACTCAAGATACTTTAAAATGACTTCATCATACTACTACTATCATAACCAATGCATATAGCGCAGATCTGGAAAATTGATTTGTGTCACATATGTGACAATCTAAAGGGATTGAAGAGGACAGTCGTGCACTGAGCTTCAAAGAATGGCAATTACAATCTGACCACGAAAAATGCACACGCTGACATACAACATGCTTTCACACAACTAATGGCTCCTGACGGAACCATTGCATCCAATTAAAGACAAGGTTTTCATTCAAGGGTCTGTTTAACCCCTGGGGGTCCCAGAAAGTACTCCAGGGTGTCCATGAAGAAGACAGAGAAAGCAATCCGTAATGTATTAATTGCTGATATTAATTTATTGATCATGTTTGACCGTATTGTGGTTGCACTGAAAGTATGAGGGGTTGTATTATCGGGCTTTAAAGTCAATAATTAAAGGGAGTTCACATAAGACTAAAAATTGTCATCATTTGACTAGTCATAAACCTTTATGAGTTTCTTTATACAATTGAACACAAAGGAAGTCATTTAGAAGAAAGTTGGAAACTGCTAAGCATTGATTTTAATAGTATTTGTTTTTTCTATGTCAATGATTAGCAGTTTTCAACATGTATTGTGTTCAACAGAAAAAAAGAAACTCATAGAGGTTTGGATGTAAAATTACGTGAATAAAAATGCTTCAATGCATTCACTTTCTGAGTTGGTTATTTAATATCTTTCAAAGGGCTTATAGTTTAAAAAAAAGGTCTTGATAGTATAACTAGGGCGCTATGAATTATGTGATGCAGACAGAACAGAAGTTGTTAGAATGGAATTTGCTTTATATAATGTGGGATGCCATGCACTTCATATCCAGGGATGCTCTGACAGTCACTCCACCACCATTTTACCATTTTATGTAGACCCAAAAAAAGCTATCATCATATATTGGACACACAGGAACTTGAGTCAGAAATCATGACACAAACCCATCACTATTTTCCACAAAAATGCTCTTCTGTAAGAAATAATAATAATAATAAAAACATAATACAAATATTAGTAAATATATACGTAAAGTCAATTAAATTTATACATTAGACATTTTCTTTAGATATTGTCTTATAAAGTTCTTTTTAAAAACATAACCAGGTTCATTCAATAAAACATGCTTTAAAAAAAACCTATGCACACATAAACACATATATAGTAAATAAATAAATAAATTATTGTTAGGAATAATTAAAATAAAAAAGTAAAGTAATGGGTAACACTTTATTTTGATGGTCCATTTGAGCATTAGTAGACTGCTTAATATCTGCTGATACTGCTTCTTCAACAGACATTTAACTGACATTTAACTGACTATATGAGACTTTGCAAGTACATGTCAACTTACACTAACCCTAACCCCTAATCTAATGAGAATTAGTTGGCATGTAGATGCAATGTAACTTTTATTCAACAAACTGACCATCAAAATAAAATGTGACCAATTAATGAATAAAAAGTCAAACTTATTTTATAGTATTTCTTAATAAATTATTAAACTGAATAGGCTTTTGTGATTTTTATTAATTGTTGTTTTTTGATAACTACTTATTTTAATAATTAAAAAATGTCTAAAAATGATTGAATGGCTGAATTGGACAAACCGTCTGGAGACTGTAAAAAAATAGAAATCACATTAAAAGTTCTAAATTATTGAAGCACAAAAATGTTGGTGTAGTTAGTTTGACTTTTAGTTTTTGTTTATAGCATGCTGAACCAAAGTCAATTACCAAAATGCAGGAAGTCAGGCTGTCATGTGACAACCATGAAATAAAATAAATAAAAAGTCAAAAAACCCTAGAAGCACTTTTGTTGAACGTACTTATTTTTACCTGGCTATGCCTTCTTTTTTTAATTTTTGCAGTCATAAAAAAAAAAGTTGTTAAATCAAAGTGAACTACACTGTTTCAATTTACTATGATTTTTTTTTTTTTATGTGAAGCTGCTTTGACACAATCTGCATTGTAAAAGCGCTACACAAATAAAGGTGAATTGAAAATCTTAAAAATTTATATATATTAAAAAATGAATAGAAATTTACAATTCTAGAGGTTTCCTGAAGCTTGTATGTTTAAAACTACAGATTTTATTTAGTCTTAGTTTAATTTTAAATAATTCATCATTTGAGAAAATTGACAAATTGTCATCTCCACTTGTTGCTTTTTGTCGATTTCCGTCCAAATAAACTCTTAAGCCACATAACGGGACAGCAGCTACAGTATGTCACTCTTTACACAATACAAGTGTAAATGCTGCATGGCTGTTTTTTTTTAGTATTCAATTTTGCTACAGAAAAAACAAACTTTTATAGGAAAGAAATCATATTTAAAAAGTAGAGATCATTTTAATGGAAATTAATAGTTAATGTGTAATTAACTTACGCGTTGTTTAACTGTAAACTGAAAAGAGTTCGTCAAACGTTGCCTACCTTGCGTTGGTGCAGTCGTTGTACAGCGCTTCGAAATCTTTTCTGGAAATGAGTTTGCAGCGGTTCACTCCGGGCTGGATGGCACCGAGTCCGCGCAGCACGCGCACCTGCTCCACGGTGCACACCACTGGGTTTATATCCAAGCGTTTGAGTTTAGTGTACACGGTGTGCAGTCCGCCCACCAGGTGCTTCAGGAAAAGGTCAAATACTTGAGGGAGACAAATAAGCTCCTGCCCATCAACACTGAAAGACGCCACTTTAACCCCGTGAACCTCCACGATCTTGCACTCGTTTGTGGTCCCACCGCTCGGCAGCGAGTTGATGATACGCGGAGCCTCAGCGGGACTCGAGAAGAACGGCTCGGTCCTGAAGAGTTTACCGGACACCGCAGAAGTCCCAGAGTGAACCGGAAGAGTCGCGGGAACGGCCATAGTGGTCATTGAACTTAAAATTCCTAATGTGCTCTTTTAGATCGTCTACTTTCTCATAACTCTCCGTTCTAGGCTTTCCCGTGATGTGCAGAGCGTCCAGAGAGCGATGTGTCCGCAGCGAGCCGCGCGCCTCTCTATACCCGTGTGAACATCGATATAAACGGAGCGCATCTCGTCTCGGTTGACTCCGCCTCTCTGTGGGAGAATGATGCTCCGGTTTGCCAACCACATGTGCTCCAATTTATGGCAACAGAATTTACTGGAGGTCGAGAAATTACAGCCCTCCTCCTCCATTGAGCGGTGTCCAGCTCAGTGGTTCTATCCTTTTTTTTTTTAAACAGGATATCCCAATTTATCTAACCATTAATCAATTTCAGAATCATACGTTTTTCCTTCTCATAGTGTCATGACTATTAATAGACAGCGTTTATTTAAAGTAAATGTAAATAGCCAACTTTATTGAAGTCTTTTTGCACTGACTGACTCCGCCCTCTGCACACACAATTGTCCACAGTACCGGTACTTCTTATTTACATTTTATGTCAAGAGCTTCTTTCACTAAACTCACTTTAAATAGAAATCCGAAGGTGCTATGTTGGGGGCTTTTTTGTACATAATAAAAATACTGATGTTTACAGTATGCAAACTTTAAATAATTTATTTACCCATTTACATGTTTTATTATTATTATATGTATAGACCATTTCAATGTGGTGATGTCATTGGCCCATCACCATTTCCTGCTTGTTATCAAACTATTTCACAACTGTAACAAGAGGAAATTCAATAATAACTTAACATTAAAGCTGCTATCATAAGATTATTCATCAATATGTGGCTCTTCTTTGGATTCTCGGAAGCTATGGAAATGAAAAATGTAAAACAGAAAATATGTTAGGACCACCGTTATTGTTTACATCCCTCAAAAGGGTCTATTTAAAAGCTTTTAGTTCTATAATTTAATTTTAAGTTTACCTTTTAAAAGTGTCTGTTATGCTTTTGGTAATTTACTGTGCGTGTGATTTTAAAATGCTTATTATTCATTCATTCGTTTTCCTTCGGCTTAGTCTCTGATTTATCAGGGGTCGCCACAGAGGAATAAACCGCCAATTATTCTAGAATTTGTTTCACGTAGCGGATGCCTTTCCAGCTGCAGTACTGGGAACCACACGCACACACACACGCATGCACATGCACACTACAGCCAATTTCATTCATTAATTCATTTTCTTTTCGGCTTAGTCACTTTATTTATCTGGGACAGCCACAGCAGAATGAACCGTTAACTATTCCAGCATATTTTTTACACAGCGAATGCCCTTCCAGCTTCAACCCAGTACTGGGAAACACCCAAACACACTTACTCAAACACACACACTCATATATTTCAGCCAATTGCATTCATTCATTTATTGTCTTTTCGGCTTAGTCCCATTATTAATCTGGGGTTGCCACAATGGAATGAACCACCAACTCTTCTAGCATATGTTTTACTAAGTGGATGTCTTTCCAGCTGCAACCCAGTACTGGGAAACACCCATACACACTCATTCACACACAACTAATAATACACTGCAGCCAATTTCATTAATTAATTAATTTTTTTGGCTTAGTCGCTTTATTAATCTGGGGTCACCACAGTGGAATGAACCGCCAACTATTCCAGCATATGTCTTACGCAGTGGATGCTGTACGCGCTGCAACCCAGTACTGGGAAACACCACTACACAATCAAAAACACACACACACACACACACGCACACACACACACTCATAAACTACAGCCAATTTCAATGGTTCATTCATTTTCTTTTCCGCTTAATCCCTTTATTAATCTGAGATTGCCACAGCGAATAAACCGCCAACTGTTCCAGCATATGTTTTACGCAGCGGATGTCTTTCTAGCTGCAACCCAGTACTGGGAAACACCCATACACACTCATTCACACACACACACACATACGACCAATTTAAATAATCCAGTTCACCTATAGCGCATATCTTTGAACTGTGGGGGAAATTGGAGCACCCGGAGGAAACCCATGCAGCACACAGCGAGAACATGCAAACTTCACACAGAAATGCCAACTGGTCCAGCTGGGCCTCGAACCAGCGACCCTCTGACTGTGAGGCGACAGTGCTAACCTCTTAGCCACCATGCTTATCATTCAGATTTTTAAAAGGTATATAATCCTAATTTTCATTTAAAGAGGTCTTTCATGAGAAAATTATGTTTGCCCTTAATTTATTTTTCACTACGTTAACTGCGACCATTCAGATGACTTTTTTTAGGACATAAAAAAAAAAAAAAAAACTTTTTGGCTGAAAATGTGTCCCATGGTGATTGATAGAATGTAAGTCAACAGCTTCTGTGTTTTTGTGAGAATAAAAAAGGCAGGCAAAGCAAAATTAATTCCTTTGGCTCCAAATGATGACTTATAAAGCGAAACAAAACGTTCCCGCTAACATTTTGCTAATAATCAGGATAAAAATGTCTCCACCATTTTTTTTTTTCCAATGAGCATTTGCTCCCAAAAAAACAAAACAATCTTCTTTGAAAGCTACAGTCTTCACTCACAGTGTTCATGCGCACAATAGTTCAATGTCAAGAAAATACAGCTTGAAATAAGAAGCATGATCTTCAGGCAAAGAAGAATCAGCTTCGTCTTTTATAGGTCAGTCTATGTCAGGTACTCAAGCGTTTGAATGCCATCTGTTCAGCATCATTGGGAAAACACACTCACACATCTGGAAGTGTCTGTGGAAAGACTGCTGTGCACCCTCTCCTGGGACGCCACTGAAATCCTTGGAGAAAAATGCCATAAAAATATCCCACATGACCCTTTAGCCATATTTGCGTTCCCATCAGACATTCCATCTCTTTATTTGCACTGATGCAAAAGTCTCTTATGAGGTGATCTGTAATGGTGAATACATAATTCACTCAAACTAGTTACATATTTGTATATCAATACTGGTTTATTTCAATAAAGTAGCTTTGATTTTTTCAAGTTGATTTTACTTAAAAATGAAAAGTATTTCTGTTCTTAGAACTATAAGGTTCATTCATTCATTCATTCATTTATTTTCTTGTCGGCTTAGTCCCTTTATTAATCCGGGGTCGCCACAGTGGAATGAACCGCCAACTTATCCAGCAAGTTTTTACACAGAAGATGCCCTTCCAGCCGCAACCCATCTCTGGGAAACATCCACACACACATTCACACACACACTTATACACTATGGACAATTTAGCCAACCCAATTCACCTGTACCGCATGTCTTTGGACTGTGGGGGAAACCGGAAACCCACGCGAAGGCAGGGAAAACATGCAAACTCCACACAGAAACGCCAACTGAGCCGAGGTTCGAACTAGCGACCCAGTGACCTTCTTGCTGTGAGGCGACAGCACTACCTACTGCGCCACTGCCTCGTTAAATACATTCATACACTGTAAAAAAAATCCGTAAATTTACCGTCAGCTGGGGTGGCGAAAAAAAAAAAGTTGTCTAATTACAGAAATTTCCCGTAAAATAACGGACATTAAATTACAGAAATTTCCGTAATTTAAATTTTTGGTAAATTTTATTTAATTCAACCTCTGTTATTTTACAGTAAAGTTTTTAATTTACAGCAGTTATTTAACTTTTTTTCAGCATCCCAGCTACCGGAAATAAACCGTAAAATTGCGGATTTTTTTGTGCACACAGAAACACCAACTGAGCCGAGGTTCGAACCAGCGACCTTCTTGCTGTGAGGCGACAGCACTACCTACTGCGCCACTGCCTCACCCTATTAGGTTCAATTAACTTAAATTTTTATAATTATGCACATACAGTGCCCAGCATAATTGAGTACACCCCATTTGGAGAATAAATATATGTATTCATATCTCAGTGAATATAGGCAATATATTTTGGTGCATTTAAACAAAACAGATTTATTAAACATATATTTATTAAGATAATATTTAAGTCACCAAACATGTTTAGAAATTGAAAGATAATTCACTTAAACTCAAGCACAGTATTTAAAAATAAATTACAACCTACACAATTTTAACTACATTTCTTTGTTTCTCTTGATTTTTCCTCTTTTTTAAATTTGTATTTAATATTTTTCTATAACATATAAATTTGGCTGTGCTAGTTTTTGGACCGTTATCTTAAGATCATTTGTTAGATAAGCTCCAGATTTGGCTTCAGTACCGACTAATCTAACATATATGCACAAATGTAATATTGTATTGCTTCCTATAAAAATATGAATTTAAAAGATAGAATTGTGAGGGGTGCACTTATATATGCTGTACATTTACTTAATCATTTTAAGGCAGTGTTTAATACATTTATTTAAGTTGAATTGCTTTTTACAGTGTAAGCATGCTGACAAAATATTGATTTAGATCCAATTTATCAACACTATGATCTCCTTTTGTGTATCGAATATCACTATTTCTCAAGTTCAAGCATGGTAAAAGTCAATAAATGTGGGATTGTTATGAAGCGCCATGAAGATGTGCATGACCTTAATGACACTTTGACCTGAATTTGCATTTGTGTGAAATGTAATTATGAACAGTACGAGTGAGGCTTTCAGGGAAACAAGGCTGGAGTTAATCCATTCAAATCCAATTTGAAGGAGAGAGTGTATAACTAGTGTTAGACTGACGGGCCTCTATTTAAATGGTTAATGGACAGTAAATGAATGGTGCGAGAGCTGCATGCAGGAACACACCGAACACTTGGTCCAAAGTGAGGTGTGTTAATGTGACTCAAAAGTGTTGGAGGGTGAATTTCGATGAAATCATGTGCTGTGTTATTTCTACATGGTGGCTCAGTGTTAGCACTATCACCTCACAGCAAGAAGGTCGCTGGTTCGAGTCCCAGTTGGGTCAGTTGGCATTTCTGTGTGGAGTTTGCATGTTCGCCCCATGTTTGCGTGGGTTTCCTCTGAGTATGGGTGTTTTCCAGTACTGGGTTGTGGCTGGAGGGGCATCCACTGTGTAAAACATATGCTGGATAAGTTGGTGGCTTTTTCCGCTGTGGTGACCCCTGATGAATAAAGGGAATAAGCTGAAGGAAAATAAATGAATGAAAGCATGTCTTATTTAGATTGCATGGAATTTTTTGTTTTTATTTATTTTTTATTGGATGTTTAACAATTGACTATTT